TGAGGAAACAAAATATTGTGTGTAGTACCCCAATTCGTTCACAGTGAAATTTTTCTTAAGCATATATCCTCGTTGGATCATGGAAATACTTCGCACCTCCAAATAATAACGCAATGTATATCCCATTTTTCAGCTGCTGCATAATTTCAATTTATAAAATTTTAAGCAGTTTGTTTTTCGATTCACAGTGATTCTCATTACTTTGATCATGAGAAAAAAAATCAATTTTGCGATTACTCTATTCAGCAAACATTTTCGAGTGTGAAACCTGATTATTTGCAAATTTCAATGGAAGCATATTATATCCGTCAGACAAGGACAACATTTTATGATGAACATTTAAACCCCTGTTTTACTACGCCTTTGCAAACTTTCCAGAATACAGTATTAAGTGAGTAACTTTTGATATTGCAACAATTTTGAAAATTTGAAAAGATCAACATATCTTCCGTTTATTAATGCACATTAATGTTCGCTTATTGCCTATGACAACTATTTCGAAAGGTTAAACTCAAAATATTCTAAAATTCTCCTGGCAATAAAAATTTATACGCAATATGATCGAACATACAAGTCTTCCCTTTATTCGGGGAAACAATATTACTTGTATGAGGAACACATAGATTTCCCAAAAAATATTATATAGTCGTTTTTCAAAGGGTCTGAACTTCGTAAATTTAGAAACATATGTGGCCTAACGATGCAAAGGTGATAAATCAAATTAAAAGTGGATAGTTTTGTGCAGCAGATGTCCATATAATCTTTTATTATACCCAAGCGGCGTGAATTAATTACACTTGTTATCCCTCAAACAGTTTTTAACTGTGTTCAATGTATCATTAATTCTACACATGATTTTTGAAGTCTTAGTCCAAGACATATACACAATAAGACATCACGCCAATTTTCTGACTAACTCTAAGATTCCTAAAAATCTGGAAACATACCTTCATTTTGCAGAGCATGATTCATGAGATATTTAACGCTAACAATCAATTTTTTAAAAAGTCAGTAGAATGCTTTTGCAAGAGTTATTCACCCGCTTCAGAGCCATCAACTGAAGTCCTAAAACTCAGAAAATCGGACTTTTATAGAGAGGCATGTTAGTGATGAATGATGTAGGCGATGCTTTTCGGGAGATGACAAATCCAAAGCTCGTGTACTATATCTGGTCCTACTTCAACGCCTTTAAATCCATTTGTATGAAGTGGACACATGCATCAGCAGAATGTACTTCAGAGCAGCATCCATATTTCTGCCTTTTCTCTGGACTGCTGTCATATACGAGGAGTTTAACAAAAGTTCTCGGGATAGTAATTGGAATGGCATACGATTGAGCAGAATACAAATTTTTGCTGGGAAAAATATACTTTGGAGCAAGGAAAACAAAGTAGCCCTGTTTGAATCATTTTTTTTCTCGTAAATGTCAGCCTCTTTACTCTTCACTTGAAAGATGAGGCGCCCATTTTGCAAATTTTTTTATTGTGTGTGCCTCAAGTTTCCCTTCAGAATTCTTGCAATTGATATGGCATTAAGTCCAAGGCGTATGCCTCGATGAGGTCTTCCAAGGTAATTCCGCCTTTTTCTTCAACAGCCGCCTTCACAGCCGCCACATTCCCGTCTCATCGACAGCTGCCTTATTGTGAATATAAGGCGGCTGTCAATGAAAATGGCGGAATCTATTACGGTATAAACTAATGGATTTAACCCGGGGAATCAACGCCATGTTAGTTTCAAAAATTGTGTACTGTATAGGGGAATCGCATCAGGTACCCAAAAAAAACTGTAAAATGGGCGTCTCATCTTTTGAGTGAAGAGCAAAAAGCTGCCAGTAGGGTGACTTTTGCAAAAATTTTCGAAGAAATATTTAACACAGGTCTCCTTTTTTTCCCTGAAGGATGTTTTTTCTGGAAAAAAAATTATCTGCAGCTCTATTACTGTATTGTGGCTGTTTTAATTTATATTCCAAGAACATTTGTTAGACCCCTCGTATATTTTAGTAAATTCCATTTTCTGATTTATTTTTAGGATGTAAAGTGTATGCAGTACAACTGTGAGATTATAAACCCGTTCTGACGTTTGTGCTAAGCTTTTCATTTTCCCTCTTGACGCTGCCAAATATTTTCAAAGCGCGCAGATTTGCGATTTGAGTTTCTGAATGAGTTACGCGTAAAGCCAGCTTCGTATGCCTGTGATAAAATTTGCCTCACAGTTTTAGAACGCCTTTTTTTCTGGAATGAAGAATGATTTTCGACATTTATTTGCTGACCAACGAGATGCTTAGTGTATTGCAGCAAGCCATGTTCCTTTTTTTATAATGTTCGCGAAGCAAAACAGTCTTCGTCTCGTGAAAAAATATACTGTACGTCGCAATGGAAGGAAATTCTTTTTTCAATCAACGACGTCAATATTCATTGGTTAATGTACACATATACACATATACACTATCAATTCTATAAGTTTAAAAACCTGATTGGTCCCAAAGTAAAAGCTGCTTAACCAACGAGTGATCGTCAAAAATTAAAAATAAAAACGGTAGGAGCAAAGAAAAAATTCATTTCTTCCAAACAGCAAGATGGAAAAGAATTTTGGAAGAAAATATGAATGGGTGAACAGAAAGCTTTATTTTCAATTTCAGCATTCACAAGGTTCAATCAGCATTCCCACATCCAAACCCTCTCCCCACCCAACCCAAATCCATTCAAAGGCATTCAATCACTTCAAAGTGGGAAACAGAGAAATAATAGCTGCAAATTGATGACAAAAATAAAAGACAATACATTCCACAAAATACAACTGAACAACTGAGGTGTATGTGTACATCCCTTCTTTCCCTGACATTGCAAACAAAATATCAGTAACAAGAATTGCAGCATAAGCCAGAATTAAAGCAATTGCAAAAGTTACTGAACCCAAGAAAAATATATTCATCAAAGTACACTCTGATTGATTCAAACTTCTGTTAAGCAATTTTTTGCCTGCGAGCCATTGCTTTTGCCTCATCAAGATATTTTGATGAACACCATTTTCGTTATTGGTCTTTTCAAAATTGAGGACCCCTGTGAATTTAGTCAAACCTCTCTAGGTTGAATTTAAAGGGACCAACAAAAAATCAAGTTAGGGGTTCTGAGTGAGGAAATACAAATTTTTGTTGTGAGAAAGATAAAATAATTAGAGGAAATTGTAAATGATGATATTCTGGGCTATATATTGCTTTTTAAATTAGTTGAACGTGGAAGCAAAGGCTCATTTGCCAAATTAGGATTTCACCTTCTTTTGAAATGCAACAAATTATTTTTATTGCTTTTATTCTCTTTCCAGTGTCAAGATGATAATAACCATAAGGCCTCAGAAAATTCCAGTGGGAGTAAAATCTTTCAGCTTAAGAGAGGTTATTAATGCATTTTTGCAATGGAATTCAGATTGGGACTTTAAAAAAATTACTTGGGGAGATATTTGACTTAGGGAGGTTCGAATTACCGACGTCAAATTTCAATTTAGTACAGTATATAAACATTTAGTGGGATGCGGCAAACCATGTTTAGTCGCTCATTGATAATTATTCATGTCTACCTATAGAAACCAGGTCAGATGTGTCCTACACTTTGTTTTACATTTCCCCGTCCTCGATTTAAATACGCTATCAAATTCCGAGTTTAACTCCAGTTTATTGGTTTCGCGGTTGAGGGCCACAGGGTTGTCGCAATCGCGTCGCATTTTATGCCAACCCAAGTGAGAGGAAGGACAACATCACCTGACCTGAGTCGCGTGATGAGATGCGTGACAGTGAGGCAATCTTGAATAAAGTTGTCCTTTTTTGCTCGATCCCCTGATGCTTCCCAAGAGGGTCAGTCAGTCACTTGACATCTCGGGAGTCTGTGGAACTGATCCCAGCTGTCGGTTCACCATAAGTGCGACTGACAATCTCAGAAGCCACATCCACAAAGTTTTACAAAATATTTTTTTTTCATTGAGTTTCCTAAAATATAAATACGTGTCCCCCGAGGGAATCCTTCGAAAGAGTCGCCCACAAAAAAATGGGGATTTGTTTTGCGTCCTTTTCTGTCCTGCACTAACGAATTAGCTGCAAAAACGAGACGAAAAAGTTATGAAGTGAATCAAACATTTGACGGCGACTCCCATCAGGTTGGTAGTTCTACATTCCGTCACTGACCATTCAATTTTTTAATTAAATTCGCTAGAAAATTAATCCTGAAACTGATGAAGCATGACTCTGAGTACATTCTCCGATTTTGGAAATAAATGACTTAAATTTGAGTAATTGGGTTAAGAAGTCCTTGATTCGTGGACGCATTCCTACTTTTTCCAAAATAAGTCGTAATGTTTTTCAAATATGCGAGATGGACATTTATTGCATTCCAAGTCAATTTTTTTCTTCAGAACTAAGCTTTTCTGATTTGACGTTTAAAACACGTCCAATCAAAGATTTTTGTTTTCAATTCTATCCTTTTTGTTGATGTCAAATGCATTATTGTTTGAAAAACGTGCGCATTTGAAATCGCATTCCCACGTGGAAATAAATGCGATGCATTTTTGACAGGCTATAATCGGGTTTGAATTGAATATTATAAACGGTCAGCCGAGTAAAACTTTAAATAGTTGAGAATCTTCAGTATTTAAAATCGAGTCTCCAGATTAAAAAATAAATGAATAAACTAGTTCTGCTACAGGAAATCAATATTTTCCGGAAACGCAGTATTCAGAAATATGCCGGAATTTCGTGAAGAAATTAGCACAAAATCTGCGGGATTCGAGATGCCATTCGTTTCCTGGTGCTTCTTTTCTGCGTCGAGTTCACCCTTTCGCTCAGCTTTCTTACTTAGTTTTTTTTTGTCCCTGTCGGGGACGAGTTCAATTAAAAAATATCAAGACCAGGAAAGATCGTATCGAAGTTAGGGCAGGAACAGGGACAATCAGGAATGCAGCAGCAGTGGCCTCGAGATCTTTTGCCAAGATTGTCGCCTTCTCCGGCGTTTCCACGTCCCTGTATACGTGCAGCAAAAGGTGAAGTCTCGTGAAAGGAACGACAGACTTGCGTCTCGCGCGTCCTGCGCGTGTGGATGCGAGTTCATCATCATCAGTCGTTTCAGAGTAACAAAATAAATAAAAATTGAATAAAAAAGAGACAAATCGAGTTGAAATTTTGTTGCGTCAGTAATCTCAGAATGTGACGACAAAAAGAGATACGTAGTGAGTGAACCCGTATTAGGGACAGGAAGTGTGGGCGGGGGACGAAAATATCTTGCGCATCACAGCGAGGATGTACGGGACATACGCTGCTGTTGGCTCTGGTGCCACAGCTACTGGGGTTCTGGGATGGATCGGTAAGTTTATGTGCTTATTTTTGTGTGTGTGTGTGTGAATATCCAAAAAATACTGTTGAAATGACAGACGAACTACTGCTTAGTGACGGAAATATTACTGCTGAAAATCTCCAATTCAAATTTGAAAGGACAAACCAAAATATTCTCAATTTACGAGTTTGGGAATATGGCTTGATTTTTGAAGGTTAATCAAGGATAACTATTTTCTGGAGCAATTCTTGAAAGAGATTATAACTATTATATTCCTATAGCTGTAGAATTAGGTTTCATTATTCCTCTGACGAAAGTAAAAATCTCCAAGACAAATTTGAAAGGACAAACCAAAATATTCATAATTTACGAGTTTGGGAATGTGGCCTGATTTTTGAAGGTTAATCAAGGACAACTATTTTCTGGAGCAATTCTTGAAAGAGTTTATATCTATTATTTTCCTATAGCTGCAGAAATAAGTTTCATTATTCCTTTGACGAAAGTAAGAATCTTTATTTTATTGTGATCAGGTTTTCCAAGCTTTTTTCCCCAGTTCAATACGAGGATAAGAATGATCGAATATTTGACTAGGTGACGTTAAAGTGAACAAGTTTCAAGTTATGGGGGGTTTAAAATGCAATGGTATTATTGAGCGCGCGATTCGGTCACGAATTCACAGAACATTTTAGTTGAAGAGTTTTGCTTCAGAGAAGTTGAATGAAAAATGAATTATCGTAATTGAGCCTGAAAATTTTGGGTTCTTGCCAGTACTTTCTCCGATCAAACCCTTTCGGAGGATGTTCCAAAAGAATTTCCTGGCAGCAGTGTTAGTCCAAAACGGTTTTCCTCGAAAGAGAGAAATTCGGGGTGTTGATTTTGTCTCATTAAACTTTAAAATTAGATCTAATGCAAAGTAAACCGAATCCCGGCAAGCGAACTAGAGATGATAACAAAGTACTGTACTGTAAGGTATCCTTGAAATCTTAAACTCGAATCATTATTGTAAGCTTATATTATTAGAAGTATACTTTCCAAGTTATACTTTTTTGGAAAAATTACCAGGACGAAAAAAATTTTTCTTGGAAAGAGGATATGAAGCAATTAGCAGTTACTTATTTAGTTTTGTTTGACTTCTATGTGTATTTTGACTTGATTGTATCATTGCAGCCCTTTATTACCTATTCACTGGCCATGGACATGACATCGACTTTGGCTGGTTCCTGGAGAATACATCGCCTCACATGTGGGCTGGCATAGGTGTTGGCCTAGCAGTGGCCTTGTCCGTCGTTGGAGCAGCTTTGTAAGTTTTTGTTATACATACAGTAAGTTTTTTTACTGAGTGAGGCCCTATAAGACTCGGGACGAATAATTATTTCTCACACTTCGTCCATGTGATGGAATATCTGCATATACGAAGGTCGTCCCACTTGGACGCGACCTGTAATATTTCAAGTACCAATTTCATTTAAAAAAATATGACAGCGCTTTACTGTATATGTTGTAAGGTTCTGGGACTTTTTGAAAAAAATCTTCAATTTACTGCATCACGTCCAGTGAAAACTTTGCAGTTACAGCCAAAGTTCTCCACCCAGGTCATAGGGTGATGAAACTTTGTCAAGCCAGCTTGACAAACATTTTTTATTGCTACCCTTCATATTTTCTAAATTTTAGATAATGGTTAAAACAGCACAAAATTCAATTTCTTCCTAGCCTTACAAATATTTAGCACCCTGTTACATGGGTGGAGAAACCTTTTACATGCATGTCACTTGCCTATTACTGGAAAGTTTTCATTTATTGTCATGCAGCAAATAGAAAAACTCTTTTTAAAAAACCCAAAATCTTATAGAACATCATGGGCAATGTCACATTTTTTTTTACAATGAAATTTGGATATCATCCCGCTTATTTCTGTACTTCATGAAGTGTAGATCACATTTTTTCCTGTGTAAATTTGTAATTGATCTACACTAATGTTCCAAAGAATGGCAAGTATTTTCATGTTAACACTGAGGCCCTATCACATAAGTGGCATATAATGACTTCTCATAATACTGTATGTCCATATAGGCATCAGAATGTCAGCTTGTTGGATCAGTTTCTTCATGTTGAAAAATTGTAGTTGAGGTAGACTATCCTGTTCCGAAGGATATATGAATTGATGGGATTAATATAGTGCGAAAGGAAATTTTTAGATCGCTTATTGATCCCAAAATTGTTTCTCAATTCTTTGATGTTCTTCTGGAACAGTAGCGATCTTTCTACCGCGAAAATTCACCAACACTCCTCAGCATCGTCATCCAATATTCACTGAAACTCGAACGAAAAATTATGAGCAATTTTTGGGATGACATCCCCTTGGGAGAGAGTTGAAATGCCTAAAAAAGGAAACGTTTTTTAGAATTATTCACTTGATTTTTGATTCAGGGGAATTTACACCACCGGAGTGTCCATCATGGGAGCAGGTGTGAGAGCCCCGCGCATCAAGACCAAGAACTTGATTTCCATCATTTTTTGCGAAGCTGTGGCTATCTATGGACTCATCATCGCCATCGTCATTTCCGGCATGCTTGAGGTTAGTTCAATAATGATGCGAAAATGAAGTGTTTAGACACACGGAACGGAAAAAAATAATCGATCGCTGATACATTCATGCTGTGTGCAGAATTTCTCGGAAGCGAAAATCCTGAGCGACGATCGCGTGAAACGTGAGAACTGGTTGGCGGGTTATGCCATGTTCGGAGCCGGAATAACTGTCGGTTTGGGAAATCTTTTCTGTGGAATATCTGTGGGAGTAGTTGGTGAGCATATATTCAACTCTTCTTCAATTGATTAAAAAACGAGCGAGAACAACATTTGAATTTCAATCATCAATAATGCTTTCTGATTTTTTCAGGCTCTGGAGCTGCCTTGTCCGACGCTGCAAACCCGAATCTTTTTGTCAAAATTCTCATTGTGGAAATCTTCGGCAGTGCCATCGGCCTTTTTGGCCTCATTGTTGCAATTCTTCAGGTTTGTATTTTTTTTAAACCAAAATTTCGCCTCCATTTTAGCCATAGATGGCCGTAAAAAAAAAATCTGAAGTGGCGATATCAATGTTGCGAAGATGAGATGGAAAGGAAGAATTTAGAGAACAGGAATTGTTTTGGAAAGCGCTTATTGCAAAGAACAAAATGAGCTGAAGCACAGTACTGTATTAGGAAAGAATTGATTGCTCTGTTTTATGCAGTGGTAAAATATTTTTTCAATTTTTTTTAATATATCTTTTTATGAAGGATACTATTGAATTTTCCTGCATTATTGCAATTTAACAGTCAAACCTCAATTCAGTTCCACATTTGTGAGGCGAACTTGACCTGAATAAATTCACATATTCCATGTTCATCCTTTATTGTGAACCATACCCTAAATTCATATTGTCATTTTATGCAAATAAATGCCAGAACAAGTATTGTGGCAAATAAAGAAAGTGATTCAAGTAGTCATGGTACCGTCTCTCTAGACATTGTCCATTGTCAACATTTTCTCGAATATGAACCTCTTTCTCCTTACTCCAAAAAGTCGCCCATTTTTTTAAATAAAAATTTCCTAATGCTTTCTCTTTTTGTTCCAGCTTTCTCACGTGAAAATGGGAGACAAAGTCTAACAAAGCAACATGACCGTATAGACTACTACACATCAACGAAAGGGAATCATCCAATTTCTGGAAAGCTGGGAAAAATTCCGAGGGAAAAGTGTTCTTGCAGATGACCCATTTGGGATTCTGGGTTGTCTGTGATTTCACTTTATTCGTCAATTTTTAAGCTTACCATGTTTACTTGAAGGATAAGGCGCGATTAATCACACGACAATTTTGAATGCAGATATCGCACGTTAATTCATCGGATTACATTTCTTGAAAGTCTTCTTTTTAGATGTCTACAGCTTAATTTCCTCTGACCAACTACATCACCCAAAATTTGGATTCCAACTCAATCCACCTGAGAATTTGGCAAAGAATTTGCTTACTTGAATTTCGTGCTGTTTCGTATTGAAAATTCTAATGGACATGATAATTTTGAATGCGAAGATCGCGAAGACGCCCATCAAATTGATGCTTCTTAACTTTCTGGAGGAATTGAATTTAATGCGCAAACAAAATTTTATAAGTCGTAATTTCAAGCAATTTTTACTTCAAAAAGGCGCCTTGCATGTGAGTGAATCCGTTACTGTCTTCTTTTGGCAATCACTATCGAAATATCATGTCTTGGAAAGATCTTTGGGTGAGGGACATTTTTGCGCAATATTTATTTTATGCACTTGTCACAGGTAAAAAAAAAATGACCTTCGAATGGAAAAAAATAGTCGCGATTGTAGTTAGTTCAAGTCTTGTGTACAGGGAAGTGAACGAGATTGTATGTGCCCGGTTGAATGCTTTTCATAACTCCTTATACTGTCTTTTTTTTCCCTGTGTGCTCACGCTATGGTTTCACTTTCTTTGGGTTCAGTTCCCACACCGCTGAAATAAACGAAACTTTGTCATGAAATAGCTAAATTCCGCCATGTTCTTGATTCTATGATTTTCTTTTACTAAATCAAAATTCTCGTCGCCATCAGCAGGACAAGATGAAGAATTTGCATCAGCAAAAAAATTGGGACATTCCATGATTCCTGGAGAAATCTTGAGTTTTTCTTGAAGTTTCGTGATGTACCCCCTTATTATGTCATCCTGCTCCTGTAGTTTGTCCAACATTATCGCATCTCATGAGAAGAAAAAATATCCACATTCAGGGCGTGTTTTGAGATTTATGGCAAAAAATTTTCTCTGAAATACAACGTGTCAGGATTGTCAAAAATCTTGGGGAATCGCAATCCCATTCATGTTTTCCTCCCATATTCATTTAATGCCAAAAATTCCTGATTCTGAGAAAAAAGAACGCTGGGAAAATCCAACAGCATTGTGTATACCGGTACTCTATCGTCCATGCTTCCATTCTGAATCCTTGTTATTGACATATTCAATCAAATAATTTTGCTAAATTGCTAGTGCATACAGATAATATAATACTGTACCGTTCATATGCTTAATGTAATTTTATTTTTATAGTTAAGCAAAAGGAAAGTCACTGGCATTTCGCAATCAAGATTGACATCCTTCTTCCAGGCTGATTGATGCCTATTTAGTTTTGTTGTCTATTATCTTGCACAGCCAATCAAATACCGTTACTTTCCTCTCCTTTGTAAATGGGTGAAATCACTGAAAACCATGGACTTGGAGAGAGAAATCTCTCGACAGTGCTTTAGCAGGAAACATTGGTTCCACCACAATTATTTTGGAGGCAGATTCCCCCAGGAAAATACCCCTCAGAATAGGAGAACCACCATGATTAAATTCTGAAGTGGGGAATTTGGTGCACACTGGGACTATGCCTGTTATTTCACAGAGTGTCCCTAATGTGCACCTGAAGCGCACCAAAGTTTTGCTCTGGCACATGTGTCTCCCAAATGTGCATCAGTTGTGGGATAACAGTAGGTATACATTTGTGACCCTGGTGTAAAAAAAGCTGTGTCCCCCAGTTGTACCCCTACTCTAACTTAAATGCTAACTACAATAGGGGTACATGTATGACCCTCTCTTCCCAGAAATAGCCCCAGGGAGCACGAGCTGTGTGATGCTCACACATTGGATCATTCTGTAATCCTTGTGTAGAAATTCAATGTATACCAACTGTACCCTTCCTGCAACTATGGTATGCTTGCTACAAAGATGTTACATATGTGACCCTCTTGACTTCATGCACATGTCTACCAGTTGTGCCCCTCCCGTAACAGGTACGCTTGCGATAATAGGGCTACAATTGTGACCCTCTCGTCTTTTGATTTTGTTCCAAAACAGTCCTATATGAGTTGGGACTCGGGCGTTGACGCTGATGCCTGAGCATTAGGTGCGACACCTCTCTCTAGAACGCAGCAACTTTGGCAAATCAGCCGCTTCCATTGAAAAACAGAGAGAGTAAAAGTCATGAACCAATACAGCATAACAGAGATTGAATTGAAGTCTGACAAATGGATGCCCCGTCATACGAAAAATTCAAGTTGTGGACATATTGAAATCAGAAAAATCAAACCCGACTCATCAACAAAATGTCTCAAGATATTGACTCCTTGTCAAACTTTCCAGAAAGTATACGTGTTTTAAATTATGATTTTTCTACGGAACAAATTAAGCTACAGTATCTCTATAAGGTCTTGAAGTAAGAATAAATCTTTAACTTTATTCAAATTTATGTTCCCAACTACTGTAGATTACTTTTGTGCTTCTCCTTTTAGATGCTTTTGTGTCAACTTTTATGTACAGCCTTATATGATACTATACAATATTACAGGATTTGCGCTTGACAAAGGATTAGAAAAGGGTCTTAGTTTTGCTGGTTTGGTCTCTTTTGTGTTGGGCTCTTGGCAAACTCTCTTCAATTTTATTTTGCTTCTCAAATTAATGCTCATCTTGGTGCTCCCATTAATGCAAAAACCCGTTGTGCAAGGGTCTCCAGTATACTGGCTGCAAAGCATTGCATTTCTCACTTCTTCTCACTTCTTCATGAAGTGAATGTTACTATGTAAAAATACCGCATTAACATGGTAACATGTACAAGAAAAAGTTCCAAGGATTCATCAAGAAGTATCTTTCCTACTGTATGAAGAGGATTAAAAATAAAAGAACTATTTTTCAACCAATTCAATTTCTTCAATCCTTATTATAATCAACTTTTTCAATTTCAATAAAAAAGGTAAGCTGTGGTAAAGGCTTTCAGAATATATTATGCAGAAAATTAAAATTTTGCATGATACACACTTAACCTCTAGATGCCATACATTAAGTCTGTGCTCTGCGAATACAGCTGTAAATGAGTGACTTAGCCATCATTTTGATTCACGGAAGAAAAACTTTCTCAAGAAGGGCTCTACTGTATATAGTGGGTAAACTTGGTGCCCAACTCAGAAGTGGCCAAGGGCCGCATTGAAGTAGAAGAGCATTATGCGGGCCACAATGGAAAAAAGGCACAAGAAATGTTGACCAGAGCATTGTGTAATTCAAGAATTTCTGGGATGGTTGAAATGATTCTACAGTATAATCAATCAAGTTCTAGTCTATAATCAAGTTCAATAAGTATTTCAGGATTTTTGTTTTCTGGCAATTTGGCTTTTAT